GCTGCACCGTGCCCGGCGCAGGAAACTCCCACCGCCTCGACGGCGGCAGCAAGCCCAGCAGCTCCTCACCTGCGCGGCACGGACCCGAGCTGGAACCAACTGGGCTCCGTGTGCTCAGGGCGACAGAGACCCCTGCAGAAAGCCAACTGCAAGAAACAATCTGCTTTTTCCCTCACTTTAAGTCCTTGGAGCAGCTGCAGTCATTTTGGTTTACAAATTATGCACATCCGGATACAAATTTTACACTAGAAATGTGCGAATGCAGTAGTTCTCTTACGTTGTATGCAAAAACTAGGAAGAATATAATGAAATAAAAACCTGTTGCAGTCTGATGCTATTCAAGACATCCATGTATTGGTTTTCATTCTGAGAAATTCTAATGAACGTGCCTCCTCTCCCACAGGCATTCTGTGCAGCAGTCTGACAGTGTAGCAAACGAACAAACAAAAAATCCCTCCGTCATGGAGTAGTATATTTAGTTATTTTCTATTTTTCCTCCCTATAACTTCTCATGAAGCCTAAAAAGGAAGTGAGCAGAATTATTTAAAAGCTGCTGCTTTCAAAATGCACTTTTTCTAAAGGCTTCATAAAAATATGAGATTAATTTATCCTGTGTTCAAGTAGGAAGGGAGAGTAGTTCTCAAAAAACTTAGGACTGATGGTGACTATTTGCTCATCCACCTGCTGTATCTGCGTATTGGTCTGACAGTGCACTAACTTCAAAACTACTAACACATCTTTACAGAGCAAAACTGCTACAAATATTACCCTTTCTTAAGGCATAGTTTCAATTGATCAAAAGTAATGAAGTTTTAGTATGACCATCATTAACCAGATGCTTAATCTCAAACAAATTCAAAGCTTTTTCTTCGGTGTTTTGCTTGGCTGGGGGCTTTTGAACCAAACGCATACTCTGAGAAAACTGCTCTAGTGGAAGTCTATATGCTTTCAAGAACAAAGCCTAATACATTTCCAAACTTTTCTGACCTGGGAACAAAGCCCTTTCGAATATCTGTGAAGCAGCATGAAGAGAGAGAAAAATATTTCTTCCCAATTGCACTTTTTCCAGGAAATTAATCAAACAAAATTGTCAGAGAATAACTACTGTTGCTCAGGAAAAGCTGAATTCACTGATGTCTTTTTGGTTCTTTTCATAGGTTCTTGACATCTCCTAGCAGCAAAACCAACCTGCACAAGAAGTTTACGATGTCAAGCAACGTTTCACAATGCTATGTTGGCAAAGAAATGGAACCTTTCACCTATTTTTACTACTTGATTTTTCTTATGGGATTTATTGGAAGTTGTTTTGCACTATGGGCATTCACACAAAAAGATCAGAAACAGAAGTGTATGAGCATCTACCTAATCAACCTCTTAACAGCGGATTTTTTGTTGACTTTGGCGCTGCCAGTAAAGATTATCGTTGACCTAGGCGTTGCGTCCTGGGAACTGAGAATATTCCACTGTCAAGTTACAGCCTGTCTCATCTACCTGAACATGTATTTATCAATCATATTTTTGGGATTTGTAAGTATGGATCGTTGCCTTCAGCTAATGCACAGTTATAAGATCTACCGCATTCAAGAGCCTGGATTTGCCAAGATGTTGTCTGCAGTCGTATGGACAATGGTTCTCCTTATAACAGTGCCCAACATGGCTATTCCAATAAAAAACATCGAAGAGAGACCTGGTGCAGGATGCATCGATTTCAAAACAAAGTTTGGAAGAGACTGGCACGTGTTTACTAGTTTCATATGCACAGCAATATTCCTGAATTTTTCAGCTGTGATACTGGTTTCCAACTTCCTTGTTGTTAGACAACTCTACCGAAACAAATACCGCGAGAGTTATGCGACCGTGAAGAAGGCCCTCATCAACATACTGCTGGTAACTGCCGGCTACCTGCTGTGTTTCGTTCCGTACCACATCGTCCGGATTCCCTA